AACCGGCCACTGATCTAAACTCTGACCTCCCCGCTGAACCGACCACTGATCCAAGCTTTGAACCCTTTGCTGACTCCCCTCCTGAACCCCAGGCTGAACCTGCCACTAATCCAAGCTCTGAACCCTTTGCTGAACCGACCACTGATCCAAGCTCTGAACCCCCCGCTGGTCCAACCACGGACCCCCGCTCTGAACCTTTCACCGAACCCCCCGCCACTGATCCACCCGCAGAACCAGAACCACCCACCGAGTCCCCGGGCCCGGCACTGCCCTGCTCCGGTGCCGCTTCCCCCATCGCCAGCCCCGAGCCAGCCATGCCCACCGGGGACACCCCTCCGCAGGCCTTCGAGGGCCACCCCAGCGAGGTGGCCGCATGCCCTCCCTTCCGTGCCCGGCAGGACGAGGCATCCCTCACTCTGCTCCTGCTCGTGCCCGGCATCCAGCCCCGGAGCCTCCGCGGGGATGTGGGCACGCACCACTACAGCCTCCGCTTCCGCACCGACACCGCTGCCTTCGCCCTGTTCCTGCGCTTCCCGGCCGCGCTGCTGTGCCCCGAGAGCAGCGTCAGCGTCTCTGCCCACAACGCCGTGGTGGGGCTCGCCAAGGCCCCGGGCAGCACCGGGCTCTGGGACAAGTTCAGCTTCGGCCTCCACCCCTCCGCTCTGCAGGTAACGGTGGCACGGTGGTGGCACGGTGGTGGCACGCCCGGGGTGTCACCTGCCCGAGGTGCCCTGCTGGGTGTGGCTGCTGGTTGCTGAGTGGTGGCTCAGGGAGGTGTGAGGGTCAATTTGAAGCTGCTGCTTCCTCGGAGAGCTGCTCCCGGATGGCAGTGCCGTGACCCGATTTGTGCGAGTCTTGTACGAGCAGCGCCAAGGTCACACCGTGGAGCTGACACCTTCATCCTTGGAATTGGAATGACTTCTGCTTCCCATGCGAATTTTTTTTTCCTAAGGAAAATTCTGGTGATGAAAACAGTGCCTATGTCCTAAGTGCTCACTTTTAAAGCCCTGTGAAGTGCAGCCTGTTCATACAAAGAAAGCTCTTTATGATACACCAGGCTTTTACACGCGTGTGCATACACCATCATGAAGTGTAGGGGGAATGTCCCTGTGTCTGTGTTTTGAGACAGAATTTCCATTTACAGCCACAGCAACCCTAATTAGTTCAACTAGAGCAGAACAGCAAGCAGCAGCTGTGAACTGTCCCACTTTGCTGGGGTAAAGCTTCACCTGCTCTGTCTGAATATGATTCTAATTTAGTGTTTTCTAATTTTATGGGTTCTTGGGCAGTGGTGCTCCCGTGGTGGGAGAAAGTGGGGTGGCTGCATCCAGTGTCCCCAGAGGGATGCCCACCTTGTGACATTGTCCAGAACCACTCACACAAGTTTTGTGGAGAACCATGTTCCTCTGTGAGCTCAGACTTGCAGACAGTTTCTCATGAGCAGGGATTAAAGCTGCACAGTTCTTGTGCAACCTTCTAGCCATGGGATTTGGAGTTTGGCTGGAGTTGAGAGCAATAAAATCCTCTGAAGTTTAGATCACGTGCAGTGGGATTGCAAGTCCAGGAAGCTGGCAGGCTTCAAGCATATCCACTGGGATAGACCTGGCTTGGAGCAGCTTAATTGCTCCATCCCTACAACTAGAAATGACTTGTGCCTGATTTTGAAAGATATTTATCCAATTAGTGTTTGTGCAGCTGAAGCCACGTTGAATTTCCCATTTAGCGGCCGCACACCTTTTACAGCAGCAATTCCTGGGAAGGAGGAGCTGATCATTTCGGGGAAGCATCAAAGATGATGAATTTATGGGGAACCACCCACGCTGAGCTGTTTGCAGAGCATTTCCTTTGCTTTTACCGGAGCAGGAGCCTGCAAGTCTGTGCAAGTGGGGCCACAGAACACTCAGTGCTGCTGTTCACTGCTGTGATCTGGCACTGCCTGCTGCTGCCACGTCAAAAAAGCCACTGTGTAAACTCCTGCCTGTTTTCTGTGCAGGTACTGGGGCTGCCCAGGGCACTGGTGGAGTCCCCATCCCTGGGAATGCTCAGGAAAAACCTTTGGATGTGGCACTTGAGAACATGGTTTAGGTGGTGAACGTGGTGGTGGTGCACTAATGGTTGGAAGTTTGGTATATGGATTTGTTATTGCAATTGGAGGAACATTTTGTGATTGAAGGGTTTTAAAAGGCCACCCAGTAATGAGATTTTTGGCTTTGTGAGTTACAAAAACCCCTTGAATGTGCTGATTTTATTATATATTGCAAAATGTTTTGGGTGGAGTAGGAGAAAGAGATTGGGAATTAGTCATCAGCTTCCTGTCCATTCATTCACAGCAAACTCCAAGAGATTCTCCAGTCCTCCAGTCCTTTTGGACAGTGGGTCTGCAAATTGAAGCAGGAGAAATAAACTGAAGTAATTTGTCCTGTTTTTTTTTTTTTTTTTTTTTTTTAATCTGTGCTATTTCCCCAAAGTGCCTGAGAGCTGCACTCACTCAGATTGGAGGGAGAAAAATGAATATTTAATTAGAGCCACTATTACTTGCTGCCTTCTGGCCATTAACCATTTGTTCCTGGTCGCTTTTCTTCTTCTTATGTTGATTCCTTCAATTTGTCTGATGCCACCTTGGGGGTTTTTCTGCCTTGAGTCTCATTCTATAAATCAGAGCTGTGGTTCTTGCACTGAGACCTGTAACGAGTCACATCAATCACTGCAGAGTGCAGTGTCAGTGCCTAAAGGGAGCTTTTGGGGCTGAGGTGAGCAGGAATTTTATCCTGGAGCAGGAATTTTATCCTGCACCTCCCAGTCTGCTTGGTGGTCATCTCCTCTTACACAGCAACGTTGCTGGATGGTGCCTGGCAAAAGTGAATCATGGAATGGTCTGAGTTGGGAGGGATCCTAAAGCTCCACCAATTCCATGGACAGGGACACCTTTATCCCAGGCTGCTCCAACCCTGTCCAATGTTTTGAACAGCTGTGGAATTCCTGCTCCTCCATTCTGGGAAGTCGAGGTTGCTGTGGTGTTCCATGGAGCAGATTCCTCCCTGGGTTAGTTCAGAGTCTGCCCCTCCTTGGTGCTCCATGCCACGGTGACAGTTCGATGCCCTCTGAGGCTGCCTGCCCAAACCATTCCCATTAAGTGCCAATTCCTTCTTGGAAGCTGGTCTGATCCATATGCTGGTAGAAAAATGAGTTGGGCTCATCCTTAGAATGCCATGCTTGAAACAGAACTTCAAGAGCTGCTTTTCCTTTTGTAGTCAGCAGAGGCTGAATCCCTGTGCTGGAAGATGATCTATTTAGAGCTCAGTTTCCATAGATGCTGAGCAGCTGGAATTCCCACTCCAGCAAGTGCCTCTTTTCAGGAAATCTTTACAGTGCCCTGCTCCTCCCTGCACTTTAACTGTGAGGAGTTTCACTCCTTGGCCAAACCAGAATGTCCACACTGCAGTGGGACTTGAGGATCTTGGAAGTCTTTTCCATCCTCTTGATTCTATGATTTGTTATGGTGACCAGAAATCCTATAAAAATAAAGAATCCATAACTTTGAACGTCGTGGGCTTAGGGTCACATATTTTAGGGGTTTAAAAGCCACTTTTTGTCACTGCTCTGGTGCTGCTCAGTCACTGCACCAGAGACCACAGTGCAGATCCTTCTGCAGGGCCTGCTCCAGGCCCTGTTTTTCCAGGGAATAATCTCATGACCTGAGGAAGCTTCCTGATTTCCCCACTGCCAAAATCTCTGCTCTTTGCCTCAAAATACCAGCCATGGGCTGTGCTCTCCCCATCACTCTTCATTGCAGCTCACCCTCTGAAACCTTCTACATGTTTTGCTTAAATCCTGGGAATTCAGGCCTGGGAAACTCCTGCATTAGAGAGTTCCCCTTCATTTCCAGACAACACAGCCTGGGGAGTAAATGACGGAGGAAGAACGGTTGGGAGTTAAATAACCATTAATACAATTTGTAAGCCTGCCAGGCAGGGTTTCTGAGAACATGTCCCAGTGTGTCCTGGTTTACGGCAGTGCTGGAGCTGGGCAATTATGGAAATTGTACCTTTGGAAAGCACTTGGAATATCTTGGAATGTTTGGTCTCCTGGGGTTAAATGCTCCATTCCTAACAAAAACAAGAAGCAGTTTTTTGGGGGTGTTTTGAGCTGCTGAGACTTGGGGGCTCAGTTCTTGGAGCATGTGAAACACGTTTGGCAGGGAATGAATTCTGCAGTTTCGGGGTCGTGTCTGCTCATTTTCATGGGATTAGAAAGAGACTGGTTCATGCAGGAATTCCCTTTTAGGCTGATCCACACCCTTCCTGCCCTTCTCAGAGGGCTGCAATGGGTTTGCTCAGAGGATGTGTGCTCGTTCCTCTGGTCATTTCCCCCTGGGTACCCCTCGCTGGGCAGGGAATTGCAGCCAGCCCATCCCTTTCCTAAAAGACCCCGTCAGATCTTCTGGAGAATATGAGAATATTGGGATTTAACTCACGTAAACCCCCACGGGCCTCCAGGGAACAGCAGGGAGCAGAGGAAAACAGAGGAAATATTTCCTCTGCTTTCCTATGCATTGCTTTTTTTTTTGTTTTTGTTTTTTTTTTTTATATTTTTTTTTTTGTTTTTGTTTTTTTTTTTTTTTTCCACATTTACAGGCTGAAAAAGATTATATTGAACATTCCTGAGGAGTTCATGGTTGGAGCCGGGTCTGAGTTACACTGTGTGTGTGAGGGATCCAAATGGGAATTGCTCAGAGATAGGGAAGTTTTGTTTAACTTTTCTGGGAGTGTTGAGGCCTCCATGCAGGATGTTCTGCATGGGTGTGATTTTTCTGCTTGGCACAGCCACCAGTGCCATGTGAAGGAGACCCTTTGGAAGCTCCTGGTGCTTTTTCCTCCAGAAAGCAGCTGGAAAAAAAAAGTGGAGCTGTTGGAACAAGTCCAGAGAGGCCACGGAGCTGCTCCAAGGGCTGGATCCAGGCTGGGAGAGCTGGGAATGTTCCCCTGGAGAGGAGAAGCTCCAGGCAGAGCTCAGAGCCCCTGGCAGGGCCTGGAGGGGCTCCAGGAGAGCTGGAGAGGGACTGGGGACAAGGGATGGAGGGACAGGACACAGGGAATGGCTCCCACTGCCAGAGGGCAGGGATGGGTGGGAGATTGGGAATTGGGAATTCCTGGCTGGGCTGGAATTGCCAGAGCAGCTGTGGCTGCCCCTGGATCCCTGGCAGTGCCCAAGGCCAGGTTGGACACTGGAGCTTGGAGCACCTGGGACACTGGGAGGTGTCCTTGGGGTGGCACTGGATGGGATTTAATGTCCCTTCCCACCCAAACCATTCTGGGATTCTGGGATGATCAGGTGCCCCCTAGAAGAGGCTGGAATCTGGTAAGGTGATCTGGGCTGATCCAGCCTGGCCTTGGGCACTTCCAGGGATCCAGGGGCAGCCACAGCTGCTCTGGGCACCTGTGCCAGGGCATCACCTCCCTCCCAGCCAGGAATTCCCAAATCCCAATATCCCATCTGCATTTCCCTACATCACTTGCGTGGAGCTGGAGGTGGCAGAGTTCTGTTGCACTGGGATCACGTGGAGAAGGCCAAGGGATGGAAGTGTCCCCAAGGGCTGGAAGTGCCCCCAGGGGCTGGAAGTGCCCCCAGGGGCTGGAAGTGTCCCCCTGGGCCATGGTGGGCTGTCCTTGTCCTCGCTGAGCTCAGAATTAGGGCTTTTGTGGATAAAAGTTTTCCTTGGTCGGTGAGTCAACCAAGCATGAACCCTTGAGAGCTGTGTTGGGAAGTGTAAAACATGGATGTTTTAATCCTTTGCCACCTTTCATGGAGAAATCCATCCCGGAGAGCTGTTTTGCTCTCATTTCCAAGCTATTTGGAGTTACAATTTTCAATTTCCAAGCTGCTCTAAAGACTTATTGTAATAGTCAGGGGTTACTTCTAAGAAGATGCTGCTGGAAACTGGAGCTGTTGAACGTAATCCTCCAACAGTTTATTTTTGGTTCAGTTAATTCTGTGCTCAGCATTTCAAGACTCTTGGCAAGTTTTTTGGGAGGTCAGAGAAGGACAAAGAAGGAGAACACAACAAACTTATTATTTCACATTTTTCAAAGTAATCCCTTTCCCAAGCTACATTAAGGACCATAATTAGTTTGCTTCTGCTATAAAACAAACTAATTTCTGAATAGTCTTTAATTGGTAGCTGCATTTTGGGAATACTGTGACTACACAAAACAGTAATGTCAGGAAACATTATTAACCTACTGATGAAGCTCATCAAAGCTTCTTTGGAGCTGTTTCATCTTTGCAGTCATGAGCACCTTGGAAAAGTTTTCATTTCACTACAGGCACCAAAACTTGGAGCTTCAAATTCTCAGCTCTCAGAGCTGGTTTGTGCTGGGATGCCACGAATGCAGAGGCCAGGAAATCCAGGAATGTCTTTTCCATATTGGCATTAATTGTTGGGTTTGGATGAGAGAGGTTGTGGCTGCCCCATCCCTGGAATTGTCCAAAGCCAGCTCGGATGGGGTTTGGAGCAGCCTGGGGTAGTGGAAGGGTTGGAACTGGATGGGATTTAAATCCCCTCCCAACCCAAACCATTCTGTGATTCCCTGATCCTCTCATTACAGGAGCCACCAAAATAATTTAAGCCTGAAATCTGTCCTGCTTTTCAAACTTGCAGCCTGTGTGGGAGGTATCTGTGGATGGAAACTGTCTTCAATTGGGATAAATGAAAGCAGAATAAACCCATCTGAGTGCTGAGGGCAGCGTGAGGGGAGCGGCTCCGCGCTGTCGGTGCCGTGAGACACAAGGACGGGTTTGAATGATGAAGTGTTCCAGAAACCAAAGTCATCCCTGCTAACATTTATGTTAATTTGGTCTCAGTTTAGTCACAGGGAAAAATGAATGTGTACCAAACAGCAGATGACAGTTGTGTGCAGGGAAAAACAAATTAAATTCGAAGTTGCTAAGAGAGCATCATAAATACCAGAAAATAAACGGCTTAAATTGAAGAATTATTTTACAGGGTCATTCAAATCATCTGCAGATGGTTGTCCTCTGTTTGCTCTGGCTTGGAAGGCAGAGCAGGCTTTAGAGTAAATTCCTGAATCATTTTTTTCCAAGGTCTGTGCTCTGATAACATCTGCAGTAATATAAATGCCTCGGTGTGTGCTCCCCGTGAATGCAAAGTCTGAGTTACAGTGCCTGGTGGAACAGGCTAATGATAATCACCTTATTGCCAACAAACACACCCCAGGTCTGTGATTTATGGCAGGCCACGGGGTAGGGATGGGATAAAATGGTAAATACTTCTGGGAATTCAGCATTGGGCTGGGGTGAAACTTGGTAAAATTGGTTTGGGCAGTGAGTCAGAATTAACGGAGCAACAGCACAAGCGGTTAGTTTTTATCCTCATTTAAAGCACTGATTAATCATAGAATTATGGAATATTCTGAGCTGGAAGGGACCCACAGGGATCATGGAATCCAGCTCCAGGCCCTCACAGACCCTCAACAATCCCACCCTGGGCATCCCTGGCAGCTCCTGGAGCTCTGGCAGCCTCAGGCTGTGCCCATTCCCTGGGGAGCCTGGGCAGTGCCAGCACCTCTGGGGGAGGAACCTTTCTTGATAATAGACCTCCCATTCAGTTTTTCTTTTAACTTTATTTTCTGTGAAGAAAACAAATTCTTTTGTTTTTAATCAGGAAGAAATTCTCCAGAAAGACTCAGGGCATTTGTTGCCAAATTGCGAAGTCCTGATGGCGCTGATGAGGAGAGGCTGGCCCTCACACAGCCACGGGTGCCAGAGGCAGATTCAGAGGGAAAAGAGATTATTTTCCTCATTTTATGGAAGAATAGGATGAGACTTGGTGCATCCTGGTCTAGTGGAAGGTAATTAAAGGTCCTGCAATATATCCCATGGCAGGGGTGTGGAATGAGATGAGCTGTTACAGTCCCTTCCAGCAAAACCATGCTGTGGTTCTCTGAATTTGATTTTTCAGCTGGTGAGGAGGGCTGAGCTTTGCTCTCCTTGGAAGTACAAGCAGGGCATCAAAATCCCAAATCCTGTGGGCCAAGAAATCCAGGGCAGAGCTGGGAATTCTTCTCTGAGCTGCCCAAGGATCGAGTTCAGGAGCTTGTGGGAGTTCTGGTGCTGCACAGATTTTGTGTCTGCAGCCTTGTTCTGTACTCTGACACCTTCCCCTGAACTCTGCAGTGAATTTCCACAGCCTAAAGCTCTGGCAGATCCCTCTCTGGCAGGCAGGAGAGGATGCAGCACGAGGGAATAAGAATTTTAGGCTTTGCATGCAGAAATGCAAAAAGAAGGGATGTTCTGAGAGGGTTTTCAGTCAGGGCAGCTCTGCTGCACTTTAATCTCTCCCCAAACCATCCAGTGCTGGCTCTTTGCCTGGATTGTAATCTTTCTGGATGGAAAATGAATCCAATCCTCTGCCTTGGAAAACCAACAGTACGTATGTTATGACTTTCTATATTGTGATTTCTAATTTAACTAGTGGAAAAAATAGGACTTTGGCTTATTTTTCCAATCCTGTTTTTTTTTTTTTTTTTTTTTAAGACAACAGTTAAATTTTGTACCTCAGACACAATGTGACATCTGGCTGTGCATAAGGCTCCATCCACAGGGGGCCAAAAATGTGCAGAATTGCCTTTTTGCTTCTTGGTCTGCAAGATGTCAGTGATAATTGAATTTAACTTTCATTGGATTGACAGGAAAGTTGAACTGGACCGAGAAATTTAAAAGTGTGACTTAATGTGGAAGGTTTGCAACTTGTCCCTGTTATTTCCAATTAAATATGGAAGGTAATTCCCAGAACCTGAACTATTCCTTCAGGTCAGACCATTTTTATTTTGTCTGTCCTTCCCCTCAGCCTACACAGATGATGTGTGAATAACACAAGGACAGGGAAAGCTCTGCAGTTCCTATGAAACAGCCCCTCCAGGATATATTTTAGGACCTTTAATTACCTGTAACTGATTTAAATCTCTAAACCCATCACAACACGTTTCAGTCTGTTTATGAACAGCCAGGAAACACACCCCAGGCTGCCTGTGGATACCTCTCCTTTTTTGTTTTGGGGTTTTTGGTTTTGTTTTTTTTTTTTCCAACTGGCTTGTCTGCATGGAGATCAGAGCAGCCTCAGTGGCTGGGTGTGAAATGGATCCAGCCCTGAGAGTTCCAGATCTGATCTTGGAGTGAAGATCCCGCAGTGCCTCTCCAAGGAGGTGTTTGTGTTTTACAGCCAGCCAGGAGACAAACCCACAACAGTCTAACACCTTCGTGGTGTTAAGGTAGGTGAGGATGGTACAAATCATTTTTCAGAGTCTACATCTATGTATTATTCACCCATCCAAAGAGAGAAAAATATATTTCCTTTATATTTGATACTTTGCAGATTTGTACTTTCAAGCAAAATTAGCTAAGGACTGGTTTTAATTCATTGCACCTCATCCTTTGAATGTCTGGGTTAGAATTTCTCTGTCAAAACTTGAGTGTGCTGTGAAACTTGGGAATTGCTGTCCTGGCTTTCTTTGCAGTGAGTTTTTAGCCTCAGTACCCCTGAGTGTAGCACAAAAAGAGCATAACCTGCTGTTTTCTCTCTTTTTCTTTAGGAAAGATTGTTTGTCAGTGAGGAGAACGTTGATGGATTTCTAGGCACTGCTTTCTGCCCTTCCCCTTGCTCCCAATCAGCACTGGAAAGCCAGCCTCTAATTGAAGTGCTGGATGTTACTGAGGACAGAATTCAAATCAGGGTGGAGGTAAGGATCCAGGAGCAGCACAGGCTGATTTATGTTCTTCAGCAAGATCCTGTCAAATCCCCCTGAAACAGCTTTGTTCCTGTTTTGTCCTGAGGAAGAAGGGAGAACCCAGGACTGGGGTTATTTGCAAGTGTAAATGTCAGTGTTCAGGAGTAAAAGTTGTGTTTGTGCCATTTCATGTGACAAAAGGATTGAAACCTCCTCTATTTCGTTTGGAAGGTGCAGAACTGTGATCCAATCATTTAAAAAAGTGCTTTTTCCTTGCAGGAATAGCTCACCCACTCAGCCTTGTACAGGTAGAGAAATCCTAGAGGGTTTTGTCTGGGAAGAATCCTGCCTCATCTTTATTCAATCCATGTATTGGAATTCTTGGTGGGTTCCTGTTGTGTAGATAATTAAACATGAGGCTATTAATCTTAAACACTGGTCTCAAATTCAATCCTTGAAGTTTGAGGCCTCATTCAGGCTCTCCTTCCTCTGCCTGGAACAAACCAGGCAGTTTCTGGTATCTGCCACGGGATTAAACTGTCCTCCCTTGGCAAAATAAATGGACAGATGTAGAAATCAAAATGTTCCTTTTGTAAGGAGGAAAATGTGAGGTAAAACCCCCTCATTCACTGGGATTTCTGGGTAGGCACTGCATCCAAAATTCAAATGAAACTTTTCTTAGAGGGAATGGGCTGCAGCTGGGGTAAATGTGGAGCTGGGTTTTTGGGAGGCAAGCTCAGAGGAAGCATAAGAACTCTGGAACTGGGCTGGAGGCACGAGGAGCTTCCCAAAGATAGTGGATCCAGCTTAACTCTCACAGCTGCTGTGACAAAAAATTGAAATTCTAAGTGTTGGAGAGTAGATAAATCCCTTTTGGGATCTTAGGGCAACTGAGATACCTTAAATCATCCCATTCCTGCTCTGTGTGGGGCCAGAAGTTGGGGTTTGTGGGAAATATGGAAAGGGAAGAAGGTTTTTAGAAAGTTGTAAAAGTAGGTTTTTAAAATAGAAAAAGTAGAGAATTTATAGTTAGTTGTAGTTGTAAAGTTTGAAAGTAGAAAAGTTATAACAGTATAGTGAGTAAGGATATGGAATAATAGTTTGAGTTTTAGATTTGGTTAAGATAAATTTTAATATTGTAGAAAAATATGTTTAGCATGCTATTGGCTAGAAAGTTTTAAAAATGCTCTATAACAGAAAAATCTTTACTACTAACAAGATATAAACTATTACCATCTTTCAATTATCTCAACCATATATTAAGACTAATACCACAATAAAACTCAAACAACAGTCCCATCCCATTTATACAAACCTCTGACACAGAGCTGATGATTCTCGAGGGCCCCTTCCAACTCCTGTGGGAGAATTGTCCCGTTTGGGAAGGACTGACTGGTGTTCCCCAAGTTTCCTGTGCTTTGGGGTGTGAGAGAGTCTCTGAATCCATGAATCCAGCTGCTCTTGGATAGATCCTGATCCTGACTCTCCACTGATGAATTACCAGCTGGTTTTGGCCAAAACTCCCAGTAATGGTGAGATGGGGGAAGTGCTGTTTGGACAGCACCTCTGCCAGTTCCTCCTTTCCCGAGGCAAGCTGCAATTCCCAGATGAGCCCCACGGGCCAGGAATTTCCCTAATTGCAAGGTTCCAGCCTTGCAACAAGAGTTGAGATTGCCTGGGTGATTCTGTGGCCGCTGGGATTTGGGGATTTGGGAATCAGGGAAGTGGCTGCTGCTGGAAAGGAAAGCAGGAAACCCTGGGGATGCAGAAGGATCTCCCTGCCCCTCATTCCCACACACCAGACAAGAGCAGGAAAACCTCAGCACCAGCTCATTTGGTTTCCAGAAGGAGAATCACGGAATCACAACCTGATTTGGAACCTTAAGGATCATCTGCTTCCAACCCCCTGCCACGGGATTGGAACACTTTCCACTATCCCAGTGGAGCTGAGCTGTTGGAGAAACAAATCTCTCCTGTCTCTGTGTGCACAGTTTGTTCCAGCTATAAAATAATTCATTTATTTCCTTGACAGCCACAGGAACGCGATGGACAAGGAATGCTTGGCAGCTCGGGGGGAGCCCTTGCTGGAAAGACGGACAGCAACTACCCCGAAACAAAGGCAGACACAGAGTGTCCTGCAGCTGAGGGAGGTGCTGCAGGATCCAGCCCAGCTCCCACCGCTGGAACAATGGGAAAAGCAGGCTGTGCCTCACACCATTGTTTGCAGCACGAACCTCCTGCCACCAGTTCAGCGATTCCTGGCGGAGCCGGGAGAACGGAGCCCGATTTAGAAAGTGCTGCTGCAGCAGGAGACACAGCCCCGGCCCCAGGCTCTGGAAAAGCAGGAAAGCTCCAGGGGGATGGGGATGGGGATGGGGAGGCATTCCCAGGGCTGGGCAGCAGGGCAGGTTCCCCCGTCCTGCGGGAGGTGAACCCCGAGGACGGCAGCGTGCGCATCCTCCGCGACCACCGAACGCGCTGCCCCGTGCAGTTCCACAGCCCCCTGCTCTACCAGCTGGATTAGTGCATTGTTTTAGCATTTCCTTCTGTTCTCTGATGCTTGCTCTGTTTTAGGATTTCCTTCTGTTGTTTGGTGCAGCTCTGTATGCTGGTGGATGACATGGAGGCCGTGCATTCCCACTAAAACTGGTACAACACCAAAACTTCTCATTGTTAACAGTTTAACAGTGTTCTAATCACATCTATGGCGATAATTTTACTTACAAGAAAAGTTGGAGGTGACTCTGAGCTCCTGGAAAAAAATGTATCTTATTGTTTACATAAATTTTTTATTTTCTTCCCACATTTCAGGGATTATTTGTATATATCCTCGGTCTAATGGCTCCCTTGGGAATTGAGCAGTAGTCATCATTTTCCAAACCTTTCATTTTGTGATAACTGCAGGATTAGACTCACAGTGATTCTTAGCAATCAAATGAAATTTCTAATTACCCGGAGAAGTTCTAATTAGTCTCCTAGAAATAATCAACATTTATACCCTGTATTCCATCCTAGTGCTGTGCTTCAGATCTGCAGCACCCAGATATCCCCCAGCTGAACAAATTCCATTGCACAAGAACATCCTCTGGGTGCACGTCTGCTCTGAAGTATTTACAATTGGTGAAATGGATTCTCTTTATCCAGATTAGATTTATTTTCTCAGTTTCCCTCGAGTTTCAGCATTTCCCACCTCCCTAAAGCAGAATAACCAAGAGAAACAGAGAAATTCTAATAATAAATTTCCTGTTCCCCTTTCTCACTGTTGCTGAACCAGCTTGCTTTTGTTTGAGAGGTGCTTGGTGGCACATCCTGCCCGAGCTTTGCTGGGCTCAGCTTAACCCCGGCAGCTTTTTGGGAGAGGGTGAGGCACCAGCATAGCTTCAGCACCAGCCCTGGCCCAGTGGAACAGAGCACAGAGTAATTACCTTGCAGAATTGTGGTTAAATAACCCCTGGAAAAAGAAAAAAGCAGCATTTTCTTTCTCAGACATATTTCTGTGTTCTACAAAAGCTGCTGAGGTGCTTCTGCCACAGCTGAGTTCACAGAGGAGTGGCATTAAAGCCACTGGAGCATTCACAGATCTCTCCGTGGCCCCAGCTCAGCCCCTTCCCACCACACAGTAGCAGTTTTCACACAGCCAATTTGAAACAACTTTAAAGAAAAAAAAATCCAAACAAAGAGGTGTTGTGCCACCAATTTGCTACTCTTTTCTGCCTCAATTAATGAGTATCATTAAAAAATTAATGAAGTTAAATGCACACTGCTAGAAGGAGTGATGGCACGTGTCCAACCCTCAGGATTAAAGATGAGAAACTTCCCCCTCCTTCCCCTCCTGACTTTTTAGGAACACGAGGTGACATCATCTTTTTGCTGACAATCAAGAACTTCTCTAGGCTTACAAAACAATGGAATTTTTATTTCGGCAGAACTAAAAAAATCATGTATTTATCTACATTGTAGTAAAAACAATGACATTTATTTTTTTTTTATCCTTCATATATTCATCGACACAGCGCAACCGGGACTCGGGGATTGGGCATGAAATGACCCCGGGTGGGACCCCAGGCACCACCAGAGCTTTGAAGCACCAAAAAAGATGCATTTAAAAGTGTTCTCCTCCTCCTCCTCCTCCTCCTCCTCCTCCCAGCAAACACAGCAGCAGGTCACTTTTTGCGTAGGGGCTGCAGCACGTCACCCGTTTCCAAAACGTGGTTGCCAAACATGAGAGATTACTATTTTGGGACACCTTTAACAAGAATGTTTATTCATATTAAAGCAGAAACCAACTCATAAATGCTGTTTATACACGTGTGTGCCTGGAAAAGACACAGTGGAACAACTCAAGGAGAAAAGGCGCTGCGAGGAGGATCCTCACTGGAGTCTGCGGTAGCTCTTACAGAGTTCGTGGTCCCTGATGTCTCCCCACCCTCCGTTCTTGACGTGAGGGGACAGGGGAGCCATGGAGTACCTTTTACTGACGCTCATCGCCTCGGGAAACAGGTACTGTTGGTTGCTGTTCAAGAGAGAATCGATTTTGGCACTCTGGGTGGACGGTCTGCAGGATTTCTTGTGGTGCATGCCACAGTCCCCCGTGTGAAAAATCCTGGGGATTTCGGGAACCAGCACTTTCCAGAACTTTGGAAGACAAGAGACAGTCAAGTGCTGCAGGGTCCAGTCCCAGTTGTAGTCATCGTAGGTGCAGAAGGCGTCCGTGCACTCGATGAGCTTCTGGTAGGTGTCTCTGCCGAAGGCCATGCCCATGTTGTGCTCCGTGGACTTCCACGTCTTCATCTCCACCTTGTCGGCGCGGCCGGCGAAGCCGCCCCGCACGGGGCTGTAGGTGCCCAGCGAGACGAGCTGGCACTCGGGGCACTCGCGCCGGCGCAGCGCCCAGAGCTGCTTGAGGACGTGGTAGAAGTCGGGCGCCAGGTAATGATCCTCCTCCAGGAAGAGCACGGGCCCCGCGTGCTCCCGCAGCGCCCGCACGCGCTCCCACACGAAGTGCAGCTTCCACCACCAGTGGTGCTTGGTCTGCGCGAAGCGCGCCTCGCGGTAGTGCCCGAACGAGTCGGGGAACTCGGCGTTGATGCAGCCCAGCCGCAGCGCCGCCGCCTTGCCCACGTCGCGGGGGCAGTCGCGGGGGTCGTGGCCCGGGAACTCGCGCGGGTACAGCTGGATGCTGAACGGGAAGAACACCTGCAGCACCGGGCAGAAGTCCACGCGGGCCGCCAGCCGGTTCAGCTCCTCGGCCCACAGGTCGTGGCTCAGCACCAGCAGCACGTTCTCCACGCCCGCCGCCCGCCGCAGCGACTCGAGCAGCAGCCGCAGGTGCTCGGCGCGGTCGTGCACCTGCACCACGAGCACCACGTCGGGCCGCGCCGGGAAGCGCCCGGCGTTCCGCACCGGCTGGTCGAAGTTCAGCCGGTACACGAGCGAGCGGTAACTCAGCGTCGCGTTCTCCGACAGCACCTCCGCCGCCACGCCGGCCGACGCGTTGGCGGAGGGGCGGCGCGCTACCGGCGGCGGGGGCTCGCTGACCCGCGGCGGCTCCCCGGTGCTACCGGGACCGCCCCGCTGCTGCTGCTGCTGCTGCTGCTGCTGCTGCTGCCGCCGCCGCCCGCCGCCGCCGGTGCCCCAGAGCGCCAGGGCGCAGAGCGCCAGCGCCAGCGCCAGCAGCAGCACCTTGCGCTTGTAGACGCGCAGCCGCATGGTCCCGGCGGCGGCGGCCCCGCTCCGCCGCTCCCGCCGCCGCCGCCGCCGCCGCTCCCGCTCCCAGCGCGCGCGCGCCGCCGCCGCCCCGCGCGCACACGTCGCCGTTCCCCATTGGCCGCCGCCGCGCCAACCGCGGCGTCGCCATTGGTCGGAGGAGCCGTCAATCAACTCCTCGGCGCTTCCGCCGCGCCGGGGGGCCGCGCAGCCGCCGCCGCCGCACCGCGCTCTGATTGGGCGGCGCCCGGAGGGGGCGGGGCCAAGGCCTGAAGGGGAGGGCGGGAAGCGGCTGCCAGATCCTTCGGGATTGGGGAAAAAAAGGGAAAATAACCCTGGAAATGCAAGGAAAACACACGGAAACCCGCCGGGATCCGCGCGAGTAACATAAAAAAATGAGCGAATGCTAGGTTTGGAAAACAGCACGTTAAAAAGCATCCTGCAATGACAAGAATGAGGCGAGAAATCATTCTAGAAATGCAGGAATAAGGAAAAATTATTGTCAGATTGGAAATAATTCTAAAATGGAAAAGAAAGAAATTCGAAGACTGAGAGAATAAAATAATTCTAGATTTGGAAGATTAGGATTATGAACCCGTTCTTGAATGGTAAGAATTTAAAACATCAGATTAATTAATTCTAGAATAGCAAGTATAAAATGACTCCAAAGTTTTCAGCATTAAGGTAAGAGTAAAATAATTCCAGAATTGCTAGAACAAGATAAGAAAATCAATTTTCCCAATATCCAAACGAAACCTCCCCCAGCTGGCACTCAGTGCCACCTCCATGTGCTCCAAACCATCACATGCTCCAGGGAATGGGATTCTTAAAACAGAATAATTCTGGATTTGAAAGATTAGGATTATGAACCCCTTCTTAAATGGTAAGAATTAAAAAATCAGATTAATTAATTCTAGAATTGCAACTCTTTGTTCCCTGCTGTTCCCGTCTCCCAGTCATGGAGCAGCTGACAAGACAGGAAATAAAAGGATTTGTGGATATGCTCAACATTTTGGTGTCTTCCCCAGAAAAATACCAGCCTGGATGGAAAAGCCCTCAGACGAAACACAATCCACACGTCCATAGAAGGGATTCAAAGTTTAATGAGTCAACACAGTGAAACAAATTCAAGAATCGTTAAAACAGGAGGATTAAGAAACAGTTTTAGAAAAAAGACATTTGCGGCATCACAAAGAGAGAAACCCCCAAAACCAAACATTTGCTGTGGTAAAAAGGCAGCGATGCTGGTCCCTGCTCCGAGTGGGAATGTTGTAACAGAACCTCTACAAAAAGAAGCACCTGGCATTCCATAACTGGTGTGGATGGGATTTCTCCTCCCCGGGAAGAGCGGAGCGCAGTCCTGGAGAGCCGGACTCAGCTGGGTGAGCCTGAATTCACTTTGTCCTTCCGAGGAGGAACCACAACGCACAGGAACCCCCAGCACACCCCGGCAACACGGGAAATGCATTCCAAGGAAGGTTCTCCGCAGCTCAGCGCCGCCTGAGATTCCAGAGGGGGCAGAGCCAGGGCAGGCTGTGTCCCCTCCCTCCCAGAGGGATTTGTCAGCGCTGGCAGCGGTGACACGGCGGGCGAGGAGCTGCGGCGCCTCCAGGCTCCTCCATCCGCAGCCGCCCCCGAGGGTGAGGCAGAGCCTGGCCCGTCACCCGCTGCTCTGGAGGTGCCTGTCCAGGAACTGGGAGTAGCAGTGCAGGGAGCAGAAGTAGCAGAGGACAGGAGCCTCCGTGCCCCCCATGTTGTCCACCAGCACCACGGTGTGGGCCACGTGGTGGAGGTTCATGGTCACGGTGATCTGGATGAAGCTGCTCAGGCAGGCGCTCCCACAGCGGCACGTTTTGGCCACTTCCAGGTCCTTGCAGAGGTGGGAAGGGAGGAGGTGGCAGCTGTAAGGGATTCTGTGGGATGAGAGGAGAGAGGGTGAGTTCAGCACCGAGTTCTCTGTGTCACTCTGCAGAAAAAATGCGGTGAACCATGGGTCAGGGAAGAAATGATGATGTGTGGCTCCAGATCAGGATAGCTTTATTAAAACCACACCACATTACATTAATATACTATTTAAAGAGAGACTATCCTGTTCTACATACTTACTTCTTACTTACCTATCTCACTGACTAACAAACTCTTGATTTCTCTGCTGAGAGTCCAAGCCACAGCTGGATCTGACTGCACATTTACCCCAAACAACTTCACCAGAATCCAACCCAGCCATCACTGCAGGTAAACAATCTCCACACCACGTTCCACATGGGGAAAACAAAGGAGCAGAGATAAAGATTGTTTTCTCTCCTGCTCTCTGTGCTTCTCCTGAGAGGCAGAATTGTGTCTGTCCAGAGAATGGGAATGTCACAGCACTCAAAGGCAGGGACAGGACACAGGCACCCAGGGCACATGATGCCTCCAGTTTCAGCTCCCGTGT